GAGCTCCCTGCCCGGCGCGTGGGTTTGCCGGGGGCTGTGAAGGGCAGTGGCAAGGCAGAGGTGTCCTGCCAGGGCTGGCAGCTGGGAGAAGGGGGATCAGCACCAGCCCCTCCCCCACCGCCATCACCCTGTGACCGCCCTGCTCCGGGAGAACAGAATTAGGGGCTCACGCTCCCTCTCTCCTCCTGTACCCCACAGGGTAGCTGAAAAGGAGCCCATCAACAAAATGTCTCTCCACAACCTGGCCACAGTCTTCGGGCCAACACTGCTGAGACCCTCGGAGGGGGAGAGCAAGGGCCACCTCACCCTGGCCTCTGACATCTGGTCCCATGATGTGATGGCCCAGGTAAGAGCCGTGAGGCTGCAGCCTGCGCCAGCACCCCTGGGGCAGGGAGCGGAGGGGTTTGTAGATTTGTCACTCTTTGCTGGATGTGGCTGCGCAGGGACAAGCTGGGAAGTGGCAGCTCTTCCTCTTTCTGGCCTAACACCTCCCATTTGCCTGCTACAGGTCCAGGTCCTTCTCTACTACCTGCAGCATCCTCCCATCTCCTTCCCTGAGCTGAAACGCAACACACTTTACTTTTCCACGGACGTGTAGCCTGCAGGGAGAAGGCACCAGCTGCAAACACTCCCAGCTCCCTGCTGGGGTCACGGACTGGATTGCAGCCCCCAGGGAGACCAGCCCGGACCCAGGACGGTGCCGCCTGCAGCTCCTGTACAATCGCCTACCAGTGGCCCGGTCCCACCCCAGGCGCCGTGCCTCTCTGTAAAGTAGTTGTGTCTTATGTCCCTTCTTGTGTTCAAGAATTGGTTTTTATGTATATTTGTTCAACGGAAGAGGTAGTGACTGACAAGGGCTGTGGACACAGGCTTCCCCCTTGGCTAGTTTTCTCCTGGATTCCTTTCTGCCCGCTCACTCCTACCAGGCACCCCTCGTCTCGCTCAGCTCGAAGCCTGCAGCATCCCATGAGTGCCTGTTTCGCTGCCCGGCTCCCTTGCCCCACGCCTGCATGTGCAGCACCGGCTCGCTTCAGAGGCTGGGAGCTCACGGGCTTCCCTCCACGGCGACGACCAGCTCTGCTTTGGCTTGCTGCCTGCGCAAACGTTGGACCCCACGCCTGGATCCTGCTCTAGCCTGAGCAAACCTGTGACCATGAGAGCAGAGGAGCGGGCTGCTGCTTCTTCCTCCTCGCCATATCTCTCCTGGGTGCTTTCAGGCCAGTCCCCTCTACAGCCCTTACCCCGTGCTTGTGTGCATGTGGCGTGGTGGTTACTTCCCTCGCTGTTTCTCGCCTCCGAGTAGTGTTTTGGGGTAACCCATCACACAAGGCTGGAGCGAGAGGTGCTGTGCTGGTCTCCATCCACGGCGAGCTCAAGGGATGGACAGCCGGGCAGGTCTGCTTCCTCCGCCACGGGCTGACCCCAGGTCTGTGCGCTGACACCGATGGGGTCCCATCAGGCCACGTGGATCCTATAATTGCCCCAACAAGCCCTGGCAGGGTGGGGAACAGGGTCCCTGCCGTTTCTGTACGCCTGTATCTGTGCCATAGCAAGGCACGCACACCCCCGCCAGCCCAGCACTGCCGCAAGGATTGCCGACGCTGGCTGTGCCCTGTGGCAGAGCCTGCCAGGCCACCAGCAGTCCTGCTGTGGCCACAAGAATGGAGAGGTTTCTGTTTCCCTCCTTGGCCTTGCCTGCTGCCCCAGGCACTGGGCAAATGGCAGCACATGGCCCTGCCGTGGTGCGGGCCAGGCGAGCGCTCTGTGCGGCAGCTGGATGGTCACCCAGCCTGAAAACCAGCGCAGAGAGACGGGAGGAGGAAAGCCTTCGTGGCCCTCACTACTGAAGGCAGAAGTGCTTCATTTTCTCTTTTTCACAAAGCAGTTGCTGCTGGGTTAGCCGTGCCCAGCCAGCTCAGGTCCGTTTTAGTTAAGTGGCTCCAGTGCTTGACCGCCAGGCTGATGGCTGGAGTTGTCACGCCATGTCCCAAGGCAGGACGGCTGCACGCCTGCACTCACTGCCAGGCTCTGCTCCGGCCGCCCGAGTGCCTGGCTCCCGGAATGCCCCTCACCCTCCCACACTCACAGGTAGGTGCTGGTACCTGTTGGGACACAAAACCTTTCGCTCTGTGAGCCGAATCCGTGTTCTCGTGGGAAAAGCCCCCCTCCCTGATTGCGTTGGCCCTGTGCTCTCCTGTGCCAAATGGAGATGGATGAGAAGTGACCAAGCGTATCCCTGCTAACAGCAGCGTTGCCTTTACCCTCCCGACTAACAGACTGTTCCAGGTAGAGCCCGGCCGCCTGCCACCGATGCACCAGGTATGTCCTAAGCCCACCTCCCCGGGGAAGGCAGCACCTGCCGGCCCCGCACCAGCAAAGCAACTAAAGGAGGGGAGGTCTTTCAGTCCCCCTCCAAAGGGCTCACACTTCCAGACCCTGCTCCTCCTGACTACCAGCTAAACAGAAGGGAAACAGCATTGCAGAAAATAACCAGGCGTCTGTCTTGGCCCTGGACCCAGTAAGGAGGCCGAGTTTTAGATCTGACTGCACAATGGATCCCTGTGTGTGTCTGATTTGTTACATGTGTCCAAGTCTCTGTCCATGATACTGTCATTCCAGATGGAGACTCTGTACAGCCAAATCCCCCCTGCACGACAGTGGCTGGAGGCCCGGTCCGCACAGCCCCGGCACAACAGGCTGCGGCCATCCCTGTGACTGGCCTTTGCTTGTCCCTACAGGAAGGAAAAGAGGGGGGGGTGGACTCTTGCAGCTACAGGTAGAATAGAACTGTTAATTAATATTTGACTTTCAAAAGTTGTTAAGGATATATTTTTGTTTGTGTTCTGTTTCAATTTCTGTAGATTATAAACTTTAAATGGCTGTAAACCATGTGAGGAGAAAAAAAAAAGTTAATAAAAATGCAAAGCCCCAACATTTGCACAAAAGGAGCCCTGTGGTGTTGCTGTTTGCACTAACTGATCACCTTGGCATCACAGCTTCTTCCCTTTCTGTCGTGGAAATCTTGCTAGTTGTACTTCAAGCCAGTGGTATAAGCACAGGCATTGTGCCAGGCAATCTTTTAAGAGACATCTTATGGTTTGGGCTACATCCTTGCATTTCAGTACATTCTGGAGGAATACAAAAACTGGACTGTCTGGAGCCAGCCTGTTTAATCAGCCCAGAATTACTCAAGCTTAAAATTCAGCTGACTTGCACAGCTTCTGGCCTGAGGATACTGAACAGGCACAGCAAGGGACATCAGGCAAACTGGAAACCTCATCTGATAGATCACATGGTGCTGTCTCCCCGCTTCTTTCCCCATGTGGGAATGGGAGACAATATGCCTCCAAACTGACCGCTGACCACCATATCGGCCAAACAACCCTGCGAGTATTGCTCTTCCAGGTAAGCAAGTGCTGTCACTGTTCTGCGATGTCAAACCAAGGACACAAAGGAGGAGAAGCGGGTGGGAGAACCCCCATTAGGTGTGTGCGCTGAATCTGAAATCCCACTGCCTCAAAAAAGATAAGGGTGGGTGTTTGCCCTTGTGGAGTGGCTCAAGGAAGGTTAAAAAATCAGTCTAAACTACTCTGAGTATAAAAATTACCCCCTAAGGTGTGAGAACAGACCTTGGTTGGAAGAGCAAGAGTGTTAATAGGAACGCAAATCAAAAGGGGAGCAGCTCCTCAAGCTAGTGAAAAGATGTTTCAACGTCAATACCAGTGTTCTGCAGAAATAACGCTTCACTTTCCGCAGCGTAACACAGGCACTCAGAGGTGGTACAGGGACGTGATGGGAAACAGACTGTGTGCTAAGTTATCTAACAGTGGTTTGTTCTCACCACTCTACTTTGATGATCAAACTGCTGGAACTAATGGTGTGAGCCTGTGGCAGTTAAAGCAGTAGCAAGATTATTTGTACTCCCACAGCAAGGTTAAATCAGGCTAGTCAAGTGGCTACAGAGAATTATACTTCTGCAACAACCTCTTTTTTTCCCCTTAAACTGTTTTGTTCATCTGCCAGTAACCACACAGTTCTAAGGCTACGGATTCCTTTTTGCTTTTCCCTTTAAGACATGGTAAAGAAATCTGGCTCTCATCTCTGTACTTGAAATAAGACAAGTTGTACAGATGGTGGTTTGTCTTCAGCTGGTATTTTAAGAAAAGCCTGGAACAAACTATTTCTCCACAGGCTCTTACCTCTCCCCAACAGAGTAGCAAGCTGCAAACTGTCAACTGTTAAACACTTGCAGCACGTTCAAATACACGGTAACCTAAATCACAACATTTATTTTTGAAGATTGTCCTCCTGCCTCTTTTGATGCTAGCAACAGACTTAATCAAAATCAGACCCAAAGGATCAAAAAAGCTCAGAGTCCAGGCTTGTTTCTTGGAAACTGACAGTCAGCTGATCCGTCCTGGTGATACTGCTCACTGCGCCTGGCTCCATCCTCGCATACTCCCGCAAGTCTGCCTGGAGCAGCACGCCAGGGCTCAGAGCCAGATTATTGTTAGTCATTCAGGAAAAGCCGCCAACACCATCCAGCTTGCACTGATCAGGACTCCAAAGGCAGTGGAAAGGTAAGAACTGATGGTTCTTCTGCCGTGATGCAGGCTCTTAGCAGCAGCACTGGAACAAAAGGGAAACTTGCTCCCGAGGGGTCCCACTGTTACCGTAGGTAGTAATCAATTGCAGCGGAGAAAGCGGCAAATCCACCACAGCCGATAACCCCTGCCTTCAAACCAGCTGCAATGCAAAAACGATGGGAAAGAATGAGACAAAATAGGAAAGATAGATAGTTTTCTTCCAAGTAACTACCTTACGCTGTGCTGGCTTGAAGAGCTTACACCTGCAGGAACCTGGCAGTCCGCTACCAGAGTCACACTAGCACTACCACTGCCCAAGGTGAGGTGGAAACCTGGCACACACCGGACTTAGGACTGCCACGGCTGGACCAGCACGGCGCGCTGGCTGGGCACTGTGTTGCTGAGTCTTCCTCCAAGGGATAAAAGAGAAAATGCCAGTGGCCATTGCTGATTCCAGTGTGCTCTGATCTGAGCACTGCGAGTGGCTTTGCTGTTGAACCAGGAAACAATAGGAAGAGCAGCTACTGCTTTGAAAGCTCTAAGGGGATTAGGTCCAGGACAGACACAACTTAACAAGCTCAATTAGAAGCACTTTCAAGAGCACTTACTGTCTTTTATGCTCTGTGGACAGGTGTTTTTTTTTCTTAAGGAGAGGTGAGAGAAGTTTGATATTTCTGATTAGCAGAGGAGCTCTCTTCCTACTTGGGGCTTTTCTCCAGATGCTGTTAGCACTCAAGGCTTCCCAAAGTTCCCACTAGTATCTACTGGACTAAAATCCCAGTGCTCCTGCTCTTTTACAGCTAAATAGAATTGTCTGTTTGAATTGATACATGAGAAAGGAGGAAAGCATTTTACACACTCTGCAAATTAACAGAGTTACTGCCAGTGAAATAGTGTATATATAAGTAGAGCTCTGTTAACACAAGAGCTGTAGCTTCAGAGTGTTGCTCAGTATGTATTTTTGGCTCCCTCCCCACAACACCACAGCAGAGTGTGGATAGCTAACACCATTTCCTGATTTTTCTTTCAAGTCAATTCCGTTGACTTTCCTCCAGTCTCACTGTCCTGTACGACCAAGCCTTCCCTGCCCACACATATCATTCGAGCTGACAGGAAAGCGATAGAGAGAGCAGTTCTGCCACTCTGGAGCACACTCTCATGTTGACATCACCATGACCCCATGCAGAGATTTGCAGTGTGTGT